GGGGAAATCATGAAATCATCTCTCCACCAAATGTTTTTAAACACATCTTAAAAAGTACACAACATCATGCTAAGGAATGGGCATCATAATTTTAAGACATGGACTATGAATGTAAAGTATGTTCCCAAAAACAGGTACCCTGAATATCCAAAATCCAAATAGACAAATAAACAAACAAAAACACTTACTGTACTGCTGCTCCCTCCAGCAGCTTGTTCTCAGGTTGTCCAGGTGAGTTTCTTCCACCTGCCGTTCTATCCTCAGTAAGGAGTTGTGATGTTCCTTCAGGAAGTCCTTCTTTACGTAGTACACAACCTTCAGGTTGGATGTTGTCCTTTCTTGGTTATAATCCCTGAAACATGATGAAACGCAGATCTAAGACTTAAACATACTATCAGTGGCAGAGACACTTTTTCTTCTTGAACGCACTATTCAAATCCAAACAGGAAATACTTTACACAACGTTAGGATGAAACAATTTTCTGTCCCTAACAAGCAGACCATTGTAAGCATGTGGTAGATTTTCTTAAGGGACTATTAGTGCCTCCTTGTGACTTTAAAAGGAACTGCACACAAGTACACAACTGGTGAGTAACAGCTTGAGACCAGTCATGCAATACAACCAAGCAAGCAGAACAAATATGAAGCTTACCCTCTCCTGTTGAGGCTGAAGAGGGGGTCTGAGACCCAGAGACTGCTCAGCAGTGACATGAACACCAGCAGGAGCAAAGGGACCATCTGTAGCCACATGGCGTGCGTCACGGTGGCCGTCTGTCAAAGTCAGAATACAAAATATAACTGCATCAATCAACTGTAGGGAGTAAATGTAGTTTTGTAATAAAATTGGCAATTACTAGTCTACCCTTCCAATTGGATTGAATAGCCAATTGCAAGTGATGAAACATGATGTACAGAAACCACCAAACCTCAGATCAAAGGCTTTTCAATCAATCATATTTCAGCTCCAAAAGGAATGACTACTGTCAGCTCCACCCTTGAGGTGTCGCCAAAAACTTACCCGTCTCTCTCCATCCTCTTCTCTTCTGTGATGTCTCCTGGGAGTCCGCCTTCTGTGCACATGGACCTCGCCTGGTCAAAGGTTAACAGCAAAGGTTAAAGGTTACATATTCAAAACCACGCTGATTGTAACAACTTTGTAACAACAGAATGTAGTGGTAGTTTCAATCAAAAGCGAAAAATCAAAACCAAACTGTGACAAAAGGATCATTACATCTACCTGTGGGAAAACCGCCGCCAAAGAACATGTTGAACAAGTCTTCTGGTGAAATCTCAGCTGTAAAACAGAAAATACTCAAATTAAATTTGAAATCATTTAAACAAGTCACAGCAAAAGCAAGAAGGCTATCACAGGCACACTTTCTACATTTTTTTCACATGAATGGCTTATGCTTGTAAATCAACAGCTAAATGCCAACTAAAAAGAATCCTCAGGAACAATGGCATGATACATGATGGTTCTATGAAACACTGGTGTGATACTTGGTAGTTCCCTGCATGACAGAACAGCTGGCAAAACAAACTTGTGCCATCTCCAGCCTATCTTTAGATGTACACGCACTTGACCTAGCCCCTTGACAGTCCAAGGTATTCAACACAAACAATAAATGAAAACTTTCGCAAAAGGTAACAGCATTTCCTGTTTGGTAAACTGACTCAAAACCACAAATGCATTATAAGCTCTTTTGTGTTACATTCATAAAACATACTATTAAGGCTTGGTAACATTTTATTTTACTCATACATTTTGTAGACGCTTGGTTCAAACGAACCCATTATTATTTGCGCATAATCATTTTCATTGTTCATTTTCATAATTGTTTTGCTTGGGACAGCTCCTAGAAACCAAAAGTGTTGTTGGTTTCCACACTGATGACGGTTCTAGTGACAAATCTTTGAAGCTGTTTCCTTCAACATTTGTTACTTTTCCTTGCAAAAGAATCTATGAAAACACAGTGATGCTGACCTTCGAATCCCCTGGTGTAGTCGTCATAATAGTAGTGACGATGTCTGTGATTGGTTGTATGCTGTGGCTTCTCCTCACCGTACAAGTCATACTCTTTACGTTTCTTTGGGTCGCTCAGGATCGCGTATGCATTGCCAATACCTGTGGCAACAGGATTGTGGTATTGTGCATGAAACATCAAGGCAAGTGCAAAAAAAATTATTTTCTAGTCTTACACATGTACTATGGCGGAACATACAATGTAAACATTAATGAACATATAAGGAAGAAGAGAATTCCTATCCTTGTACATTAAACTTTTAAGATTGTGCTTACTTTTAAATGCCTCGGCTGCCCCAGGTGCATGGTTTTTGTCTGGGTGCATCTTCAGGGCCAGTTTCCTGTATGCTTTCTTCAGATCATCTTCTTGTGCATCTTTTGTGACTCCAAGGATTTCATAGTAATCTTTACATTTCTTTACTCTGAAGAAAAGAGGACAAAAGAAATATCTATTAGTGCTATGATAGAGACTCCTAGCAAGATGTACACATTAGTCGCTACTCATTTCAAGTACTAGTATTGTACTTCCTGAAGTTCAATTTCAAAGCAGTTAATCCATTCATATTCATTTGTAACCCAAGAAAAAATTCATGGAGAGGCAAAGACTTGAATTGTATTGTGTGTAAGTACACAATTTCCTCCTAATTGTGATAAAAGTTTAATTATGTCATGTATAACGTATGGATGTACCCCCTAAAAATGATTAAACCTAATCTCAAAACAAGTATAAAAGCATGAATAGCAATGGCACACAAATATGCATTTCCATCATATTGCTACAGAACTACAGAATTGTTTCACCTGCATACTTCAAACACTGCAAATACCTCCTTTCCCCCTCCTACTTTGAAATCAAGTTCTTGTGAAAGTGAATCACAAAATACCTTTTCACAGCCTCTAACTGTTCACTGGTGTACTCATGTTGGATTTCCCCGTTGGCCTGTGTGTTCTCCTTGTCCTCTGTGTTGGACGCCGTCGTTTTCCTCCTACGTGTTTCTCCGCCATCACCGTTCATACTTGGCTTACTGCCACCAGCCGCTGTCCCGTTTCTCAGTAGGGCTTCAAGTAACGCTGAAGCCGTAAGGAATAAAAAACTCTTTAAGGATAGATAAAGCAAAACCTCTTAATTATTGTGTAAAAACAAACAAACATTTGCACATATGTTTAGCCTACCTTGTTGACATAAAATTTTAGACCTGTGGGTAAGGGGGAATCTTTGTTCAATTTGTATTCACTGAATGTATGTAGTACTAGCAGGCATTTTTGAAAACAGGATGCCAATGGAAAAAAAATTGGCCAAGGAAATTGTCTGTGACTTAACATGTCAGACAACAAAGAAGGTAAAAGCCCAACAATGAATTTTACATCACTTCCTGCTAATTTTCAATTTCTTCAACTTCAAGTGAAAGAGGTTAAACACTAGTCTTTTTGAAGGGGTGAAGTGAAATGGCAAAAAAAAAAAAAAACAGCAAAAAATGCATTTCTTCATCAAAAACAGTCAATCTTTGATGACATATAATAAGATTGCACATGAATTATCGCATTGACAGATCTGCGAGGGATGGGCTACCCGACCCAGATCTTCACTATTTCCCCATTATCAAACTAACAGAAAAAATCACATCAGCAGTATTTTCATTCCAATACGGCACACAATATTGCAAATAAAACCTTTAAGTTTCCAACATGTGAACAAAAAACTTCAGAAAATTCAATCGCAATTTTGTAGGGATGGGCTTTCCCTGTTTTACATGAAACTGATTAGAAATTCAGTCGTCCTTCCGTGTGATTAAAAGCCAGATTACTGCGGGATGTGGCCCAGAAGACGTACCTTTTGTTGTCCATGGATATGTGGCTCGTATTGAAATGCAGCAGACCAGACGTGAGGCCACCAGAGGTCGCCAAAAATAGAAAGGACAACTGCGACAGCTTCAGATTAAATTATCCAACATGGCGACCAGCGTGACCGATTGGGATGATCAACCCATACAGAGAGAAAAACAAGTTTTAGCGGTACCTTGTGCCTTCTGGCTGGGGTATAACTTCTCGGCTTTGTACAGGAACTTCACAGCCTTCTCTCGGTCCCCTGCTCGGATGTATTTTTCTGCTATATCGATACATCTTTCTGCTTCGTCTCTGTTCACCTCCATCTTGGATTTTCCATGTCACCGGCCGACTACGTCACTTTAGGGATAGTCGATTCACACGAGATAGGTATTAAATTTTAAAGAAAAGGTAACATTTTGTTCTTTTCAACATATATACCAAGAATTTGTAATTGCTTTTAAGCGATTCGCATTTAAAGTTGATACTTTTAAAGCTTTGAACAAGTAGCTTTCATTTCTGCGCTGGCACCCCTCTACCCACAATGATATCTTCCATCCCAAACGATGACGTATCATCAAGATCGGTAATTTCCGGAAATATCCGAAGTCTTCAGCCGAACATCTGGGTTGCAGTTTGCAACACTTTCTGAAGTTCTGGAAAGACAGATTTATTCTCCAAAAGTTAATGCTCATGGAGCATAAACGGACTTCTAAACCAATGTAGCTTAAACATCTTTCTAGCAAGTAGTTGCCATGGCATTTAAATGTAGCCTCCCAAATAACAATGCCAAATGTTCAAACACAAGACTTTGACCCCTCTGACTCTGTCTAGGGACTCTGACTCATGATAAGCATGTGACAGCTAACAGCTGATTGGTGGGCCAGGCACTTACCTCCAAATAAGTTTGGGTTCCCTATTCTAGATCGGCTTACATAAGCAACCAGACCCATTGTAGACAAGTATTAATTTTTCTCAGCAGCGAATTTCATCAGGAAGCCAGACTACAACGTTACTTGATGGGCCCTTATTTTTGGAAGCACAACACAATGAGAGTCCATCCAGCAGCCAGATGTGTTTTTGTTTTCCTGCTTGTTTCTGTTGTGATTGCCGAGGCCCGTGTTACCCTTACTGGGGCCCAGCAGTATGCAGTCTCCACTAATAACTTGGTGCAGTGGGCAGCCCAGGTCTTCCACAGGCTGAATGTGCCGCGTCACTCTGATGGAGTCACAGCAGATCCAGAGGAGAACATGAACGCTGTGAGTTTAACATTTTGATGTCTTGAAATGTTAAAACAGTAAGCAGCTGTGATGAATAATGTTTCTGTATGAAAGGCTTAATAAAGCTTAATTAATTTTTAATTAAGTCATAATGTTACCATGAGGTGATTGAGCGTGAGATATAGTATCTCATGATATTTTAATTGATATAACTTGTTACATGTATTATTCATCCCTAATCCTAGATTTTACATTTTATTCCCAGCAAAGCCATGCTCACCTCCTGATGTGATTTGTCCTAATTATATCTTTTTGGCAACACCTCGTGGATGGAGCCTGTAAAATCCTTAATGCAATCCATCCTAGCAAGATAAGGGAATGGTCAGGTCTTTTTTAAATAAGTCAATAATACAATGATGATAACAACAGGTTCTCATGGATACAGAACACTTTTATAAAACCCTGTGCACCAAAAAATAGTATAGTCAGCTTACACTTAAACTCAGTCAAGAGCTCATTATAACTGTCTGTTTAATTTTCCTGCACCTTTGCCCCAGACCCAGCTGATCACCAGTAAGGGTTACCCCTGTGAGGACCACTATGTCACTACAGACGACGGCTTCATTGCCTTCGACTGAAGGCTATGCCTTCGGAGAAGGTTATGAAATCGGGTTTGCACTGTTTGGCAGATTAGGCACGATAACTCTTGAAGGCAAGGTCCGAGGTTCACGATTTTTGGCAGGCAGGTTGATTTGGGGGTGGCCATTGTCAAGGCTAAAAATGGGCTTCGTGGGGGTTCCTAAGTCACTGTAGTTGACCTTGGTTTTTGGTGTTTTTTCCTTGTCATCAAGATATCTCGAGAATCCTTAAATGTATGTTCATTATTTTTAGTGGGCAAGTTACCGTTGAGAATGCCGAGGTCAAGTTCGAAGATGGGCCCCGTGGGGGTTTCTATGTCACTGCAGTTGACCTTTGTTTTTTGTGTTTTTTCTTGTCATCAAGATAACTCGAGAATCTTTAAATGGATGTTCATGTTTTTTAGTTGGCAAGTTACCATTGACAATACCAAGGTCAAGTTCGGATATGGGCTTCGTGGGGGGTCCCCACGTCATTGAATTAGAAAGTACTGCAGCGAAACTTCTGGTTTTTAAATCTCGTGATATGGACGTGCTATGGTCATGATTTTTAGATGGTAGGTAGTTCTCGTGCTCAGAAAGAAGTGCCGTAAGTTTGGGCCCCGTAGCAGCTTGTTTGGGAAATGCAGTGGCATTTGTTTGAAAATGTTTGAAGTAGGATAGCTCAAGAACCGGTTGACGGATTGTTGTTATTTTTGGTATCTCGGTAGCTTAAGTGATGCTTGACCTAATTTGCTGAATATTTTGCAAATTACGATCTAATTTACATAATTAATGACAGAAGTCTATATATTTGCTGGGTTCTGTGATAAAACAATTAAAATGGTGGCATATGTAATCAAGAGGAAGAGATTTTCATTATGTAAATTATGACTTAATTTGATTAATTAATAGAGAAATCTATATGTCATCCATAGTGCAGTAGACCTTTTTGGTTCCCACCTTCTACGGATTACATTGAATTTTGATTTATGCCCACAAGGATAGCTGGAAAAAAATTTCCTCTTTGTTAGGACAACAGAATCCTTGTGGAATTGGCGAAAGTGGCGCTTAATCTGCCTTTTTGGATATAACTGTTCAAAAGGACTCCCCCAGAAGTTGGTCTCATGTGGATGATGCCCTATTGCAAACTCATCAGTGTCATGCCTGTAATCCTTGAACAAACAAAGGCCCTCTTTGTTGCCCAGGTCACCAGCTACTGTAAATAAACCCTCAGTCAGCTCCACATGCAAGTGGTGTTGTCCCTCTCTGGCCCTTGTGTAAACACAGATGTGGAAGTGGGTCACATCCTTGAGCTCTACATTATCTGGGGCTGGGGGCAGGCAAGCAGTTTTGATAGCCCATGATGTAAACAGGCTGGGGTCACAAATATTTGGTGTCAATAACAGTCAATCGACAAGAACGGCCTACAAAATGCTACGTGAATTTGATTTCTGTTATGAACACTCCATTTGTTTTGCACCCGACATGACCTTTCGCTGGTAACTCTCCTGCCCTTGTGTAAACACAGATGTGGAAGTGGGTCAAATCGTTGAGCTCTACATCAACTGGGGTATGCAGTCAAGCAGTTTTGATAGCTCATGATGTAAACAGGCTGGGGACACAAATTTTTGGTGTCAATAAGGCCTAATTTGCATAAATAATGAGAAAAATGCTATAAATAGTACAATGAAATAGTGGTTACTGACAGGATTTTCATACTGGCTGCATTTGGAAGTTAAGTGAAGGTGATCAGTATTAAACATAATTTATTCAAATCTGAACCTTATTTGCATGATTTATGAGGAAATGCTAGAATAGCCCTCTTTGTTTAAGATTATAAGACTGTCATTGGATGGAAAATATGATCAAAAGGATATAATTGCAAGTGAGGATATTATTTCGATAATCAATGTGAAACATTCATAATTTGTCAGTCGTAAAGGTTACATCATTTGTCGAAGGCATGAGATCGTGGAACTCTAGTTCTCAACATGCAAAGAATACCACATGGGCTGAGTAATGGTGACAACACAGGTGGGTACGCTGAAGTTATCAAGTCCATCTAAAAAATATTCTATGTTTTGCCCAAGAGAAGTTAATAAATGACAAATTGGACAAGCAGATATGTGCAAGAAAACCAATAGAATACATTGTTGATAAAGTTTTTCAACCACACCTGTTTGTTGGTTTTAGGATAAAGAAAGCGACTTTGAAGATTAAGATGAAAACAGATTCGGGGGATCAAGTTTAGGTCTTCATAGACATAGTTGTAGGTAGTCAAATTCAGGATACTAAGAGTCAGATTTTCTTCTCAGCCCTTTAGGCCACACCAATTTAGTTTCTTGGTTAACGGATTCGCCTGCTTCATTTTTTTCTGATTTGCAAATAAAAATAAAAATTCAGAATCAACTGCAAAATGCTCATATTTTGCCCTGAACAGTTGAAAACAGTCCTTTTCATCCTAGTTGTTACAGTTATTCCATCTTTCAATGCAGTGGTATCATTAAAAGTTCAAAATTCATTGTTTAGATTTTGAACCAGCCTGGTGTGTTGACTTCATGGCTCCTATTGTACCATTTTGGGCCATAATAGGATGAATAGGCCTGTTTTTATTTTATTTTTTTTTCGCCCGCCCGCTCCATCATTTTTCTAGAAAAATCCGTTAACCAAGAAATTAAATTGGTGTGGCCTTATGTTCATATTGAATTTGCTGAATTTTGACATTAAAATGCACAAGATTTATCAGTGGGGTCTTAATAAATGAACATGAATAAATTTGCTATTCCACAGGCCCACGGCCAATAGTGTTCCTTCAGCATGGGCTGCTAGGGTCGTCTACGCAGTGGATTGAGAATCTGGCCAATGAGAGGTCATCCCTTCGTGTGCCCTGGACATCCCCGTCCCTGAGGAGTTGGAATGCACCTGGGTGAACGTACGACCCCATCGTCTCCCAAGGAAGGTATCCTGTCTGGCTGTTTGCGCCGTGTACTCACCTCCAGACTCTCCCCACAGTGAGTTACTTATCGACCACTTGGTGAACACTGTCGACTACCTCCAAGTTAAGTACCCATACATAGGGATAATTATTGGTGGTGACTTCAACCGTGTTGATGTTAACAGACTTTGTATGTCTCATAACCTTCGGCAAGTTGTTGATCGTCCCACAAGAGATGAGGCTATCCTTGACCTCATCATAACTAACTTGAAATCCTTCTATGTATCTCCGTGTACAGCAGATCCCCTTGCCACAAGTGATCATAACACTGTCATTATGCATGCAAAAGGTACACATGTGACGAACAAGATGTCCAAAAGAGTCTGTCGACCCTTTCCTGACTCATGCATTCGCCATTTCGGCCAGTGGATCACTACTTATGACTGGGGAGAAGTTTCTTCCGCTCTCACTACATCCGAGAAGTCCCGGGCTTTTTACAGTACCCTGAAAGCCAAGATCGACCAGTTCTTCCCTGTAAAGCATATCCGACTACACCAACACGACAAACCATGGATCACACCCGCCATCAAATCAATGATCCAACAACGCCAACAAGCCTTCGCGAACAATGACAAAACTTCATGGAAGAATCTCAGAAATAGTGTGCAGCGGAAGATCAGCGTATCCAAAAGTAAATACTACAATACAAACGTCGAAACTTTGAAGAAAGAGGATCCTGCCTTGTGGCATAAACAGATAAAAACTATGACCAACTCTACCCGTACTGAACCCGTCATTCACATTGACGGTCTTGACCCACGAGACAAACGCGGTACTGCCAACGCAATAAACAAAGAACTTGCATCTGTGATCAACTCTCTACCTCCGCTGGACCCAGCAGTGCTACCTTCCTACCTGCCATCCCTCCAACCACCTACTGTAAGTGTTTGGGAGGTGTACAGGAAACTTCAACAAGTCAAGGTACGGAAGGCGGCAGGACCAGACGGAATTCCTGGTAAATTGATCCGCGAATTCGCCTTTGAATTAAGTGTGCCGCTCGCAGATGTAATCAACTCTTCACTCCAGCAAGGCTCAGTGCCAGAAGAATGGAAAAACGCTACTGTTATTCCTCTCCCCAAGACGAAACCGCCGTCCATAAAGGAACTTCGTCCCATTTCACTAACATCGCTTCTGAGTAAAGTTGCTGAGAACTTCATCTGCCAGTGGACCTTGACAGACATCCTCCCGCGTATTGATACCCAACAGTTTGGAGGTATAAAAGGTAGATCCACAACCCACTGCCTTCTAGACATGACACACACTATGTTTAAGGCTTGCGACAAACCCAACACCATCTGCACCCTCGTCTCTACGGACTATAGTAAAGCATTTGACAGAGTCAGTCACACAGTCGCCATCTGTCGCTTACTAGACCTCGGGTTACGGCCTTCCATAGCCAGATGGATTACTGACTTTCTCACCAACAGATGCCAGGTAGTGCGCTATCACGGGGCCCTCTCTGACAGTGTACCGGTCACTTGTGGTCTGCCACAGGGTACGTTATTGGGCCCACTTATTTTCACCGCTTATATTAACAGTGCAGCACAACAAGCGGTCTCGAGGCGCTGGAAGTTTGTAGACGACCTAAACTTACTGGAAGTACGAAACCCACCTACAAGTTCCTCTCATTTGCAACAAGACCTGACTGACTTAGACAACTGGTCAAAGGAAAGCCACATGATGCTGCACCCTGGGAAGTGTAAAGTTATGTATGTCTACTTCAGTAAAGCTTTGCACATCCCACGGCCTCTAACGATCAACAATGTTGTACTTCAGGAAGTCAGCTCCATGAAGATTCTAGGGATCCACCTCCAAGCAAACTTGAAGTGGAACATACATGTTGACACGATTTACCACAAAGCCAGCCAAAGGTTATACCTCTTGTGCAAACTGAAACACTTCCACCTTCCCATTGAAGACCTTGTGTCTGTCTACATCTCCTACATCCGCCCAGTCATGGAATACGGGGCACCCGTATGGCATTCCGGACTCTCTAACTCCCTCAGCAACAAAATTGAGAAAGTACAACGTAGGGCCGTCCGGATTATCCTGGGAGCCAGCTTCACGTCGTACTCTACGGCATGCGCGCAACTGGGTCTTCCTACACTCTACGCACGGCGACACGAACTGACTGCAAAATTCGCCAAATCCCTTGAACAGTCTGACCAGTATAGACATTTACTACCACCGTTACGGGGGGAAGTGAGTGGAAGAAAAACTAGGTCATCTCACAAACTCGATAGTATCCACTGCAAATCAGAAAGATATAACTCTAGTGCAATACCTCACATGGTGCGACTGTTGAACTTGTAAGAAAAAAAAACTGCCCTATTCTAAATTATATTGTATAATGTGTCTTCATGAGATCTTTTAAATATTTTAAATTTGTTATTGTGTAATTTAGCTACAGTATAACTACGCTTTTAATATTGTACCGTATATAGTTAATGTTTTTATCATCTGTTGTTAATGGAACCCCCACGCAATTCAGTCTGTGACTGCCATGTGGGAACCTTTGTTATGTGTTTTACATGAAACAAATAAACCAGTATTAAAGAGAGCCTTGGTTTCATCCTAGCTGATGCCGGGTTTGAAGTCTGGTTGGGGAACATCCGTGGAAACACCTACTCCAAACGACATGTCAAACTCAAGCCATCTCAGGAGGAGTTTTGGGCTTGGAGGTAAAATTCAGTTATATATAGCCTTGGATGTTTACCAAACCCTACATAGGGACCATTGCCTCAAACTACATGTGTTTGTCAATGTTTTGATGCTTTTGATGAATTCTGACCAATCTTTCTTTCAGTGTACATACGATGTGAATATTCCTTGTCTTAACTCCTACAGTTGGGATGAGATGGCCAAGTATGACCTTCCCAAGATGCTGACCCACGCGCTGAACGTGACCAAACAGACGCAGCTGTACTACGTGGGCCACTCCCAAGGGACCATGATCGGGTTTGCTGAGTTCTCCAGGAACCAGGAGCTGGCCAGGAAAGTCAAGACCTTTTTCGCTCTGGCTCCTGTTGCATATCTGGGAAACATGGTGTCTCCACTCAGACTGCTCTCAAACTTTCTTGAACCAATTGAGGTAACTCCTTTTTCTAGACCATTCAGGTTACCAGTCCATATCCAAACTTCATCAGCACCTAGAGTAGGCTGCAATTTTATTGTAACTTGCTAGAGGGAGTTTTAAAGTCAGCTGCTACCTGCACTGAAATACATTGTGTGTCACTTTGCTTTGCAGCTGATTTATGCTCTCTTGGGGAAGGGAGAGTTCATGCCCACCAGTGAGTTTATCCGATTCCTGGGCCAGGAATTCTGTGACAAGCCAGTACTGGATGTCTTCTGTGAGAACATACTGTTCCTCATCGCAGGATTTAACTATGGCAACATGAATGTGGTATGTGTCATTTCATTACCTCTTCCTACCTTTCAAAAGTATTCTGTGTTCCAAAGTGTAGCATTTTGCTTGGAAGTACTAATCCATCTATTGCAGTACAATCAATTTCTTTGTGGACTACCAGTATACTATATATAGTGATCAATAAGAAAAAGTACTTCAACTTTTTAAACACACACTTTGTTTTCGTAGACTCGTATCCCCGTGTATGTCAGCCATAGTCCAGCGGGGACTTCTGTTCAGAACATGGTGCATTTTGCTCAGGTATGCGGCCTATTTGTTTCAATTTTTGGTTTGTAAGAAGTAAAATTATTGCATAAGGTACATAAACATATAAACATACCAATTTTGTTATTTGGTAAGTACTGAAATAATGGTACACATGCATTAGTGGTAAGATCTGAACATGTCTGACAATGCTGATCTCTTCCAACCCTGCTAGCTCTATCAGTCTGGGAAGTTCCAGATGTTTGACTATGGACCACAGGGCAACATGCTCAAGTACAACCAGGTAGGTGAAAAGGTGAAAATAAGGTCCTGTGGAAATAATATACATGTACTATAAGAATAAGATACATGCATAATATACATTTTAAATGTATTAAGCACTTTTAGAATTAACTTAGGCCACACCAATTTAATTTCTTGGTTAACGGATTTTTCAAGAAAAATACTGGAGCGGGCGGGCGAAAAAATAATAAAAATAAAAACAGGCCTAGGCATCCTATTATGGCCCAAAATCGTACGATAGGAGCAATGAAGTCAACATACCAGGCTGGTTCAAAATTTAAGCAAAGAATTTTTAACTTTTAATGATACCACTGCATTGAAAGATGGAATAACTGTAACAACTAGGATGAAAAGGACTGTTTTCAACTGTTCAGGGCAAAATATGAGCATTTTGCAGTTGATTCTGAATTTTTATTTTTATTTGCAAATCAGAAAAAAATGAAGCGGCGAATCCGTTAACCAAGAAATTAAATTGGTGTGGCCTTACAACACAACAAAAACCAACCTTCTTTCCCCTTCTACCATGAAATTACATGTATGCCCTCTACAAAAATGAAAGAATTCAAAATATTACAAACATTTCATGGATGAAAATATTTTCTATCCCTCTCAGACAACAGCCCCAGAGTATAATGCGACGAATGTCAAGCTACCCGTGGCCATGTTCTCTGGGGGTCACGACAGTCTCGCAGACCCAAAAGACGTGGTGAAACTGGAGGGAGAGCTGCCCAACATCACGACCAAGACGGTTCTACCTGAGTGGGAGCACCTGGACTTCATCTGGGGCATGGACGCTGCACGGAGATGCTACACAGACATTATCAAAATCATCAACAGTGTAGAGACGCTGGGAGAATAATAGAGACAACTGTATTACCTGCAAATAATTTGGACATCTGAATTTAATTTAGTGATTTAGCATTTTACACGCTGTGGACTACATGTGGTCATTTTTGCATGTAGCCCTTGTGGCATGAATATGCAATAGATATTACAAATGTATGAAAAAAGCTTATCTATCATACATCTTTGTGTCCTTGTTACATCCATGTATGTTACACAGATATTAGTTATCACACTATGTGAAATGCAGGAAAATTTTAATTGAAATTTAACTCATTGAAAACTGGGTTGATAGCACTTCAGCACCAAGGACATCATTTTCTTTTAACATTACCCTGCACCAGAGAGAGGTGATGTAATAAACTCATGATTTCAATTTAAGAAAATATGTCAACATTTTCCTGTCCTTTTCATTGTGTTTTAGATCCATATTATAGCTTTTGAGTGGATACACTGTAAGATTTTGCTATAATGCAGTTACTGCATTCAAAGCCATTCATACCTATTGCTTCATGGTCCAAAGGATGATGATGATTATGAATATCCTGGTAAAAAAATTTCACCAGGATATTTATAATCATCATCATCCTTTGGACCATGAAGGGTCGAGGTTACCCTCAGGCACCTAGAATCCAGACGTCCACCTGATGAGAGTAACAAAATGCAATATTGCTGGGTCAGACATCAAAGCTTTGATTCAGACAACATATTGTATTAAATTCCAGTTTACATACTCCAGACTACCTGTAGATTGGTTTCAGTTGGGAGAGATTCTAGCAGGAGGGAGACATCGTGGAAGACCTGGATGAAGCAGAATGTGTTAAGTGATGAAGTCTATGGTTCTATGCTGGTATACATGTACGTATAGCAGATCATTCTTGTCATATTACGGACTTGCTATTTCCCAGTGCAATGTAGCGTTGAAAAACTCAACACTCTCAATCTTACATGGACTGTTCTTGACTTTGTAGGCTTTTTTTTAGTGTCTGAGATCTTGCCCTAGACTTTAACTGGTTGTCTTTGTGGCATGATACCAAAATGATACCCACAAGACGTAAAAGTTTGCTTGGTATAGTACTATTAATGACATGTTGCAGTTCAGCCACACACTCACATCAGATGGGTTGTTGTAATGGTTTTCATGGAAAATATACGAGAAGGCTCCAGTGTGGGCTAGCTTGTTGTTTTGACCACGTCCCCACTCCGTTGCCACCAACTCTGAGGGAACTAAGAATGTTGAGTCAGAACATCACAAACATCAACGTGGGGGACTTTTTCCCCCGCCTGGAGTTTTTGGAGAAGCTGGTTATAAGGAAAAGTCGTATTGCAGTGCTTCAGCCAAGATGTTTTGAAAGCTTGCCCAGTGTCACTGAACTGGACCTTCTTGGGAACAACATCAGAAGACTTGGAGCAGAAGTCTTCATGGGGCTAGACAGGCTTCAAGTTCTGAACTTGCAGGAGAATGAGATATATCATGCTGATGCTGCAGCATTCTCTGGGCTGCCCAGACTGAGAACTCTCTTTCTAAGTAAAAATTGCCTTTCAAGTATTCCAAATCTGCCAGCAGAGTCAAATACTAGTACATCGATTGGCCTCAAGTTGTCTGACAATGCTATTACATCCATCAGCAGTGTGGAAGAGCTGGGGAAAATCCTGTGGCTTGACTTGGAAGGTAACAAGATCCAGTGTGACTGCACTATGCGACAAGTCAAGAAATATATCCTTCAGAATAGGCATTTGAGGTTATACGTGCCTTGCTGGGTCGGTGCCCCTAGACTGATCATGAAAAGAACGTACTTGTCCATGTACAAAGAAATCAGGTATGTAGACTGGGATGACCTGAGATGTTCCTCACCTAATGTGTCTGTTACTTTAGACAACGAGACTGTAAACATCACAGGTAACCTTTCCTTCACCTGCCAGACTAACTGTCGAGAAGGTCTGAGCTTCTGGTGGATTACACCCAGTGGAGACTACAAGCCACCAAGCTATATGTACTCCAATAACTATACCCTTGAGAAAAAATGGTCATGCAAAGGCTCACCAGTTACAAGATTGGAAACAAAAAGAATGTGCTTCTCTGTTTTGAACATTCCAGTCGTTAGCACAGGCACAGAAGGCACATACACTTGCCATGTGACAGCCAACCATACAGACAATGCAAGTGCATCTGTTGTTCTCGATGCTAGAGAAGTTCACAGTGCAACAACAGTTAAGCAAAACATGGAAAGAAGTACCACAACATACCCTTCTGGGTTAAAAACGACAGTTAGGCATGTCACATTACAAGGAGAAGACAAAAGTATTGGAACTGAGAGCACACCTCACTCTAGTCCTGGACTGACTACAACACAGCTTATCATTGCCGGACTGTCTCCTATCTGTGTGTGTTCCATTATCATGGTTGGAGTGATCATAAAAGCTGCTTGCGGACAAAGGAATGCTGCAGATGGAAACCATGATATTGAAGACACAAATAGAGACACAGAAAGCAAAGGAAAGAAAGCAAACAAAGCAAAGGAAGATCATTACGAGAACGACGACCAGTTCTCAGATGCAGATGGTGCAAAAGGAGCTCATTATGAAAACAACGATCAGTTTTCTGACACAAAGGAAGCAAAAGCAGGTCATTATGAGAATGATGATCAGTTTTCAGATGCAGGTGAAGCAACAGCAGGTCATTATGAGAACAGTGACCAAGTCTCTGACATGGACAGATCCACAGGAAACTATATGAACGATGATCAGTTTTCAGACAAAGATGTAACAAAAGAAGGTCATTATGAAAACAATGATCAGTTTTCAGACGCAGGAGAAGCAACAGCAGGTCATTATGAGAATGATGATGAATTGTCTCAGTCTTAGAGCATTTTTTCAGCAGAGCAATGGAATGCAATTTGGGACCTCCCACGCCAGTTATTCAAATAATGTTGGATCTGGGTTAAGAATTGCTTTGAACACCATCCTAAAAATGAATAAAAAATGCATTGTACCCTCTACAAACTAGGAACAAAGGGGTGCTAGTAATGTATTGTCTTGTAGACTCATATGTACCATTGTAGGAATGTCTAATAATACTAAGATCAAGAGGGTACTACTATGTACTGGTAGTTAAGTGTTGTTCAACAAACAAAATAATAAACATCTTTCTATTTAATGACCTATTTATTCCTGTATTCATTATACTTAATGTTATAGCTGTAGCTGCAGACCATCTTCTAAAATATATAGTTTTAGAAATAATACAATATTGTACTAATATATACTTTAATCTGACACCATACAGGTAAATAATGAAAAGTAACAACAACTTAGTTACAACAGTGTTATAATATGAACCAATGCAAATTAATTAAGCAAAATGCAATTAATGACAATCAATGGGCAGTAAAAACAACTACATATAACAATAGTACATGTAACTTAAGTACTTTAAATATATCAATTAAGTAGACAAATGTCATGGAATACATTACATCAGTGTGCATAGATACAACATGTACATACAACAGTGTAGATATTGAAAAAAAAGGGACAAGGATTGGATAAAACTTCTAATTTCGGCGCCTGCACTCTGATGTCGGTAGTCCATCAGTCCCCTGAAATCCAGAAAAGCGTTAATCAGTCACTTTCTGCTATGTTCCGCTGCCATTGCGGCACGAAATGAGGTCAACATAATTTATGAAACAATCAAATTTCAAGAAATATTTCTTCACAATTCAACATCTCTTCAAAATCTTGACTACACATTCTACAAAAGCATTATACACTGTAGAATGTACATGTTTCCAATATACTTACCACAGGACAGGAGTGTCCACGCTTTCCCCTTTTCCCTCTGTTCCCCTGCTCAGAAACAACGTACACAAGTAGTCAGTGAATGACAAATATCTTTGCTCGTCATGAATATTCCAGCACAAAATAATTGAGAACCAATTTACGAAGAAATGAATTGGAATGTCCTTTAAGTTTAGCTGTATTGAAGGGAATTTCAATAGATATCTTGCCTTGTCTCCTTTCGATCCTTTTTGCCCAGGCCTCCCAGGTGACCCCTGATTGCACAAATTAGTACAAAAGTGTTCTCTTGATCAAACATTCCTGCTAGCAGCAAAAAAGCAACAACAAAAGAGGAAAAGGTCCTAACTTCTCGAGTGCGATGTGATTGTATTTTGTGTTTGTCAACTCTGGGGAGTTGTACTTAGAAGTTGCAGAACTTTAAGTGAGTCAGCGACCCAACGTAACTGTTACATGTAGTGGTTTATATTGTACAACGTGGGCCAGTAATTACTATGTTAGTAAAGCCTACCATCACAGGTATAGTTTGTCTTGCTCAAGTCTATGAAAATTAATGTCATAATTTGGTTACCTGTGGTCCCGGGGGTCCAGAGGGGCCGGGTGGACCTGGGATCTGCAAACCATGAAGACAAAGATTATGATTCAAGGGACACTGGAATCTAGAAGTGCAGCATAGGCCAGAAAAGTTGACAATCTGTTGATGAGGTCTTAATTACTAACCGTACCAAAGCAGTGTGGAGTCTGTGCTGCACAGCACTGATCAGCTCCATCCTTGGGTCGGGCGCCTGCCGCATCACCCGACTCGCTCGCTTCATCTGACCCTCAGGGATCCCGTTAGCTCCTTCTGGCTGCAAGACACCGAGCAGTGGACACAACATGAAGCACATCTCCACCCACTTGAAGCTCACTCTTTAATTGTGATCTCAGTTGTGTATATATCTGAATATAGATGTAGCTGGCAGTACATTTGTATATTGGTGCATACATATTGGGAGTGTTGACGATTACCTCTTAACTTACATGTATATGTTGATAGATTGTATTGTTTTGATGCCATATTCCTTCCCAAGGGAGCAGCAGATGTTAGTTGCTGGGGTCTTTGGAATACATCAGTTAGCAGAAGCTGACGTTCCTGAGGAAAAGTGATGCTTCTATCAAACATTGGTCTGGTATAGACTGGTAGACTGACAGATCTAGATGTTGTATAGGAGCAGACTGGCTTTTGATATTGTATATTATTGGTGATGTTGCATGCAGAAAACAGAGCATCCAGCTGCGGAGCCTCTCAGTAAGGACGGAGACTTAGACATTGACAATGACACATTGAATATTCAGGATGTCCCTGTATGATATAATTTCAAGGTGCAAGAAAGTCAGTGTCTCATACAAACCTGCATACGAGTTGATATCCGCCCTCTCAGACTGCATTAAGTAACTGTGGGTTTGTACATGTATTTGTTCTGACCTAGTAGGATGACGACATGTGGCTGGGGCATATTAACAAGCAGAATGACAGGTCAAAGTTCTCAGAATCTGGCCAGGAGCCAGCACACAGGTAGACATGGTTAAATTCAGTAAGCTGAGAGTTGTGTACTTCCTATTTATTACATTTCTCGATACGATATAATTGTGTGGGTATGGCTTGACTTGATCACAATGGAGCTTTCAGTCCCCTAACAACTTTCCTCTGAACTGCAGTTACCCTTGCTTTTGAACAGAACAACCAACAGAACCTAACAAACTGGAATGATTTTGGCCTCTATTGAAAGGAGAAAACATGCAACCCTTACATTAACTACAATCTGCAGTCATCTGTCAATTAGAAAAAATGCTGTGGATGGATTTGATTTTAAAATGCCACACCTATTATTCCTAACTTCAGAAAGAGTTGACTTGCTCTGACCAACTGTGAGCCAAGGCAAAGTTCTCTCTCTGCAGGTAACTGCTATCGTGCTCATTTTTTAGTTCAAGACTATCTTTTTCAAAATTGGAGAATCCATTGCCTCAACATGCATCTGCACCATTGTGGAATGACTTTACTCCATAAAATTACTTTTGAATAATGCTGTATATATTTTTTTTACTCTGAAGACATGCTGTGATTTCACAACACACAAGCAAGAAAGACATACACCAGATATCTGAACAATGATACAGTTTATTGTAGAAAAGAAACATTACCTCATTAACGTTAATGTTCAATACAGAGATACAACATCATTACCGTTAGCTACATGTTTAGAGCTACAATGTATTGGCAGTTTGTGTCTGCTGCAACTACATTACATTACCGCTATGGCTGGGTTTGGTAAACAACATTGCTAGAACGCTGACTGGCTATTCAGTACTGGCAGGCTAGACTCATCATCGATATACACTCTCAACGACAAAACATAGAAACATTCACGCTGTAAATACAACATTCACAATTACATTCACACTACGACCCCATGCACTTGCTGGTCTGCTGAATACCAAAAAAAAAAAATACAACAAAGTCTTCTTCCATGTCTGGCATGTTTACAGAACGACAACAACATGTGACATGTTCTTCAATATGTTGTGTGTTTTTTCACAACCATAGAGCTTATTTCATAATGGTTCTTTTATACCATTAGCACAGATTTCATTGCTATCTGCAATAAAACATGATGTCCAAAGCTGCAAGCTGGACAAACAATGTAGTACAAAAGGACATTCAAGAGCAACTAATGCATTTTGCAAGTAGAATGTCTCAGTATTGTTCATTACAAACAAATGCTTTTAAGTACAGGTGGTCATCAGACTCTCAAGGAATAGCATCAGTTTTTTTTATGTTGCTTGGATTTTACCTTTTCTTCTTTAACCCAACCATAGTAAGGAAAGGCGAGTTGAATCTACTATCACCAAGAACTCTCTAGAAGTAGAAGCCCAGTTGACTGACAATACATCAGCAAGTTACCCAACACCGATTTTCTAGTACAAGTGTATAACATTTAGTCTACATTCATCAGCACCATACTGTTCACTTTAAAAAGTACAATCTGCTCAAAAATCCTCTCCACAAACAGATAAAACCTAGCTGAACATGTGCTGTTTCTTTTAAAATAAATACGAACTTCTTACGTATACAACAATGAAAGCTATGGTATGAACAGAAGCTACAAAAAAGGCATCAGACCTCCTGATAAATAAGTTGGGCATACGCAGTAAATGTAAAATGCTCACTTCTTGAGCAATACACCAATAAAATCTTATGTACATAGATTATAGATGTATTCAATAGGTTAGTTGATTTCTACCATCTCGCACCTTCCTCTTAACTGTACGTAAAAAACACTACCACAACTATCACTAAATTCTCCATATTTACAAAATGTTTACAACTTCTTTTTTCAGACATATCACCACTGGTCATAAAATAAGACCTGTCAAAGCCAGGTGTAACTAGATAAATGCTGCTTTTAAACAAATGCAAAGTTTGTTATAGCTTACACTAGGTTGGATACAGGTGTTAAGCTAGGCTCAGTGAACTACGGTAAACTTAGAATTCTGTGCTGTTGCAAAACACCTAGGCAATACTGGACCAAAGCCACAGTTGTTGGCCTAAAAACGTGAATGTACACTGAAGTCGTGAACATTCGGGATCAAAGTGTACTCAAATTTTATTCGGTTAAACCAAGATAAATCACTTTCCACTGAAACAACCAGAAGTATTTCCTCTGTAGTGCTTGTGCGTACGCCACAAAATATGCGTCTCTGAGAAATTTACAAAGTCAAACCAAGTAAATCTACTTGATGCTGCCATTGGCCAATGTGCCAACAGCAACACTTTCAGATGGTCTCTTTCAATCAAAGTTTCAAACATTTTTTTAATGAAAAAAAAATGTATCTTCCGTGGGATGTCCAAGACACCCAAGTCACTGAAGAGAGGTTTTCAGTGTTGAAACAACAGCAATGGAATGACCAAAAGAAATGTGTCTGGAGTCACAAAGGTGTCACAGGATCAGCCTGATACTCTTCAAGCTGTTAACCTGCTGGACTGGTTATCTTTCAGAACAACACTTGAGTACATATACAGTGAAGTACCTTGGTTGCTGTTTCTAGTGTGTTCTTGCTGCTATGACACCCGTGATCTTGTCGAGGAACAAACATGATAAGGGTGCTATACTGACATAATATGGTGCCATCATAAAAATACATAGGAAAACAGCCACTAATGTACCAATGAGTCCTTGATAATGTCTATCAACCCCTGGATGAGCTGTCATCGGTGTTGCCACCAGCTGGAAGGTCCTTGTTCTGCTCTTGCTTGACTTTGTTTCCTCCCTCGGCCCCACAGTCCAGACCCTAACATACCTAACTTCACATGTCCATCAACGTTTCCGCTCTTTCTCTGTCTCGGGATCTTCGTTTGATTGTCAGATGCAACATCAGCAAAACAGCTCCCGTCATGCCACCACCGTTACACCATGAATATGCATGAGGGAATGCGATGAACATTGAATGGTGATTTTTTTTTGCTGTAATATCTCGATATGTCCAGACTGAGGAATTTTGGGTTGGTGCACCGAAGTTTGACTTTCTCAAACTATGTACCTGTCTCCTTTCGTCTCAATTATAAAGAATCCCTGAAAAAATTACGGACGAAGGGAATTATTACTAAGTTACTTGACTACATTGTTCAGCTGTTTTCCTGTTAGTAATTTGTTGGAACCATGCAGCACCAAATGTCTAGCCCCCTAGGTCCTAATGCCATTAGTACTTTGTCAGTGTACATGACTGCCACGTTACAACTCAGCTAGACGATACTCAGACCAGACCAAAATGCCTAACCTTGGTTAATCAGCGACTGTCAATCAAATGGATCAAAATTAGTTGTTAACCTTTTGGGAATGATGAGGGGACAATGAGAGAAGCCAATAAATAATAAACAGACTGGCACGGTGTTAGTGTTGGCCATTTCATATCATGTAGAAATCTAGGACTCAGGAAAAAATATATATCTGCTGTTTCAGTCAACTAACTGCTTTAGCATCAACAGAGGAACAATATGGCTGCTTGCACAAGCCTCACGTACGCCAGTCATGCGCCACGAGTACCAGTCCTCATTTTCCCAAGTTTGGACAAGCAAGATTGAACATTTTGGTCAGGTCGGCACCAACTGAAATAACTTAGCACATGGTATTGAGAACAGGTAGTATAAATAAAATCATTTCCTCTTTCCAGACAAAATATTGCTTTATACAGTTTTTGTTACGTATTGCTTCAAATAAAATAGAATAAAAATAGTCTCTTTTGGCATTCCACGTGCTTATATACATTCCTCATGCTGGGCACATCAGTATATTACTGCAAAAAAAGAGAACAGAGCATGTCTTGGTTAGACAATGGCACTGAGGACACTTCACACATTCTTCACAAAAGCGGGATCGACTCGTGGGCAAATTTGGGCAATGCAACCTTGAACATGACCACGGACAGCCTTGCAGATGCAACATTCAGGTAGTAACATGGGGTTGAAAGGTCAGGTTGTTTAGCGTTTATGTTGTTTCACAAGATAACCTGTAAACTTGCATTATGGTCATTTTGCCTTACACCAAATTTATCTGATATAGTTGTAATTATGAACAATGGTAACTGTATATGTAGATAGTTTGATAGACTTACTGTAATTGTGGTGATCATGCTTCACCTTATACACCTCCTGTCAAAGGCCACTTGCCTAGAGTCATGCATTAGTGTGCAACCATCACTTAACATGGAATCATAAAGTCAGGGGGATATCTGCAGCACATTAAACCTTATAGACACCTTTCTCCTGCCAGATATCATACAATTATACAAACACACCCAGAAATGGTCACCATATGGGAGATGCTAGCAATAGGACAGTAGATGAAAGCATGGCTGATCTGGCAGCAATCTTAACAATCTATAGAGATAATGAAGCGAAGCAAAGGGAAGGTGGGGTGGGGGGTGAATGGGCAAGAAGGGAAGCACTAACGCCGCACCTTCTGCCAGCACCCGGCCAGCGGCAATCCGTCTTCTCCCTGCAAATCGAGAAAGGCAAGATGTACAAAATGGCAACGGTTTAGGACTGGACACCGGGGTTAATAAAACATGTTAACATTCAAAATTGTCACAATGAACACTTAATTTAAACACCACTTGTATATTATACAACACAGTCCTCGCACACACTAAGACACACGCACATACACACACACACACACAAATTATGCCCGTCTCAATTCCCACGTACCAGACTGTTTTATGTGTGATTTACATATGAGATTCGATTGCAAACAAGTGTACTTGTGTGTTCACTACCAAGGATAACTACTTTCAACGAAATGCCTTTTTCAAATTAAAGATGTCTTAAAATGCGCATAAATATGTACATCAGCACATTAAGTTCACACATGCCACTATGAACACGAATACACCACATTACACTTATACAAAAAAGACCCTGGTGCATGCCCATGACATTATAGAGAGGCAAGGCAAAGCAGGAGGCAAGCATTATGTGATCCAGCCTTTGACAACAAACTATTACGTCACGCTCATTTTCTTTTAAAAGCAGCTGTAAATGTAACTTTCCTTTATGTTGGTGTTGAAACGTACCTCTATCCTTTTAGTCAAAGCATACTACACAAAACTACTTCAGGACTATGTCATTCCCTAATAGTCTTTTTGGACAACCGCAAACATTTAATCAATCGAAGACAATCCATATTGTGAGGTACTTTGAGTTCATAAGAAAATTTACTGGTGTTCAGGTAAATGTAAATCATGCCAAGTACTGCTAATTTCATGGGATACATTACTACTACCTACACAGCTTGTTTCATGCCAATATGGCTAATGGTCTGTGCTACAGATTAAAGTAGTATCTACTGAATACTCAAAATGAGATATTACTCTGTTCTGGGGCTGTTTCTTGTGGGTGTTATCACACATTACCAAGCAACCAATTAGTGATTTGGATAGGGTCTTAGCACTGGTAGTTTGCCACTCCTATACAAAGATTTCTGTTCACTTGTTCTTCACATTGAAATCAAAATTCTTGTACCTTATCATAAAGAGTCAGTAAAATACAAATATGCTATAACATGTTATAACAGTAGATGGTTGCAAACATTATACTGGAAATTCAAAAGAAACATGGAACACCAACACAAAGGGAAAGTTCCTTTTCAAATAACAAAAATGGAAAATCTTGACAAAACTTTTTCATTATGCAATCTTGGCACAAAAGGCTGTTTGCAAAAGGAAGCTATTAGGCAAAGTATTATGAATGTATAAAGACAATGCAAGTGCATTACTGAAGGCAAGGGAAAATGTGTAGAATGAAATTAAATTAAACTTGATAGCTTTATCACTCTAGAGAAAATGCACTGTATTGGTTATATACTGGCAGGGAAAGCGGTAGAAGAAAACAACAGAAAAGAACGGAACAGAACAAAATTAAGGTAAGCAACAAAGGAAAAGGCTAGAATGATACTAGTATGATTGGTATTCAGCATTAAGGCCACACAAATTTATTTTCTTGGTTCTCATCCATAAAAATTCACCAAAATGAAAACAGAGGACTGAGAAGAAAAGTTGACTTAATTATATTCACACCCGATACTGTGTGAACCAAAGTACAACTTGCTTCTCTGACTCTGTTTCCATGTTGATCTTCTAATTTATCACACTCTTATTTCTACATCTACAAACCAAAAAATGAACTTGGTGTGGCCTAGGCCTAGAGTAAGGCTTGACTACCACTGAGGTCAGCTTTATGACAGGGATAGGAGGGGTACACCAGGGCCGCAGCAGACGGCACAACTTTGGTCACAGACTCACGATGACACGGGCGGGGGACACCAAACTTACCAATGGACACGGAGCGTCCAAGCCCGGCGGTCCCGGTTCACCCTTCTGACCCTGGAGACCCCTCTTGCCTCTTCTACCTCTCTCTCCCTGCAAGCGTGTCACACAAGATAGGAAAAGATTGGCTCTGGGCACTTACCACAGGACATGGGGCATCTAATCCAGGAGCTCCGTGATCACCTTTTTCACCTTTTTTTCCTGATCTGCCTCTTCTACCTCTCTCACCCTAGAGATGTCCACCAACACAGTGTAAAGAACACACCTCTTTCCCAACCACCTCTAAATAGGACCATCTCATAATATGAAGAACTAATACTTGTAGGAGTTTGTTTCTTTGCTGGAGGGAGGGGGCAATGGGTCTACAGTACATCAGACAAGAACATTTAATCTAATTTGGTTATGTGCCACCAAAATCTAGTTTGACAAGAAACTGTGTCGGCAACTTGTGTTAGCAATAAACAAAAACAGGTGCGTGACCATCTGTGAGTTATATATGATGGTACAATTATTTAGAAATGGTACTCATATGTGGGAAGAAGTTGGAGAACTTTCTGGAACTTGATGAGTTCTCAGGATGAGATGGGTGTGCATGCAATACATGGAGGAAAGGGGATGAGGACCCAGCAAAACAAACTCTGACAAGTATTGACAAATAATACAATACGATGATCCTACAGACAAGTGGTTTGTCCTGCCTTAACCACAGAAGTACTTTTGTAGCTGCTGGACGCCATGCCACGGGTGCATTACCTCAGAAGATATCCGTCCCGCTTGCACAACTGTGTCTGATACCAAGTGGTACTGGGAAAGAGGTGCATGCACACAAAACATCTCACCCTCTTCCCTATCTCCCAGATGTTTTGTGTACATTCAAGGAACTTGTCTAGCTAAGCTTCTGAAACTTCAGCCCTAAATATATTTTTTTTAAATCTTACACATCACATCACATGCAGAATATATATCATATACCATAGTGTTTTTGTTATCAGTCATTGGTTAAGCTATTAGTAATTGGAGTATGTTTCATGACAAGAGAAAAAAATTGTAGCCAAAGCCAGTCAAGTACATTGCAGTGCCAAATGTTTCTCGGTAAATCCAACCTTTCATTTGTTAAGGTTTAGTGGAAACCTTCCATTATTTTCTGCAAGACTTGTGTTGTATTATAACTGATGTTGTACAAATTCACAACCCTTGCTTTTTGCAAGAAGTTTGGCACTGTCTTCATTGCTCACATTCAAATGTCCATAATGTAGTTAGCATGCACAAAGCCTTGTTAATACATGTAGTTAGGCTATTATCCATGTTACAGGTCATTCCACACAAACTGTCAGTTACGTCATGCCCAAATATCCGTCAACATAACATTTGGGCTCTGTTTTTCATGGCTGGATAGATGGCTTTATGTGTAGTCATGACTTTGTCTTTAGGAAAAGCAATTCTTGTTCGGAAACATAAAGAATTTGTTGGACAATGGTTCTCTTTTTTCTTGGTATCTTGCCAACATTTCAGCAGCTGCCAAAACATTGGCAATAACAACAAGAACATCGAGATTGTGAAAAAAAAATTTCTCCAATGACCAGTACCAACTAGATAAAGCTAGTCATAGAATCAAGAGTTTGTACTTAATACATCCTGTACTTGTATGTGTCCAGTGAACTCCAAAGCCATCTATAAGCACTAGGAATTGTTTGAAAGCCCCACAGAGGAGTGAGATTTTGAAACAACCCCATTTGATGAGCAGGACATACCTTATCACCCTTCTGTGCTGGTGGGCCAGGATCTCCCTGTAGATGTGTAAGAAAGACAGTAAGAAAACACATCCATTGTACAACAATGAAAGGAATATCAGCCTACATGTAGTAACTGTTAGTACATTTATAATTGCCATGCTGAGTTCTTTCTACTGTTACACAGTAGAAGGTTACTGATGGTTCAGTAACCTACAAGCAAGTTTTGGGGTTTACTAAGTTAATGAAACATTTTCTGACTTCCTCCAAGGAGGTTGCTTTCTCTAACAGCCATTAAAACTTAGCAGGGCAATTTCTTTACACAAAATCACAAAGGAATCATCACAATTCAACAACAAATTCAAACAAAGTTAAAGGGAAATTGACACCAAAGAACAAAAGTTAATGCTGTAATATCCATTTAGTACTCCTCAAGAATTGTTAGTTCAGTAATAAGGTTTAGTGAGTAGAATAGACAGCTTAGTTATAAGTAAATGATGATAAGGAATTACAATAATCCTTGAAGAAAGAGAGAAAGGAGTAGCGGCAAGTGAAATAATGCGTAGTCATCATGGCTTCCTTAGTGTTTCTGAACTTCAACCTTGCACTGTTTTTTTCTGATCATGTTCCCTTATTTTAATCTTGTCATAATATTGTCTTTTCCTTACAAAGAGATCAGTTGTATAAGAAAAAAATGAAATTGTAATAGTACGAAATACATGTAGAAGTATGATGTCTTTCTCATTTTACATGTACATGTATGACTGACTTAAATATTGTACAAATATTGTTTGTTTGCAGACAAAAAAAGAGAAGTTCTAGATGGTAACAACAGGTAACACTATACATAAGACAACAGAGATGAAATGGAATGGAGGAGATAGAGGATACATAGAACACAAGTCAACACATACTGTACATGTATGTAAGTCGACACATACAGGGATGTCCAATGCTATCAATACTTTCATATCATACAAAACACAGTTAAGTGACAGCTTCTGGGGACCTAACCACTATATGCAACAAGATACTACCAGATAGCAAGTAGGGCTGCATTAAAATTCTATAGCATGCTTTTTATAAGTTGTTCATCACTTTTTTCCTGGCTACCACCTGCTGCTCATGACTCATGTTATGTTACAGATCTTTAATATTACATATAACGTTCTACTCCTTTCTAAAACGTCTCAAAGCTTTTACCTGTGTCTATGCTGAATACCCATTTCTATGGCAGGTTACATAATATGAACTTAAATCAAAAACTGGTACTAGTCTTTTGTTGGTGTCTCTGTTTCATAATCAAAAGGCTGAACATTTCTAATCAATGTAAGTTTTTAGAGAAAGTAGTTGGTAAAAGTTGGTAAAGTTAATTTTGTAAGAAATGAAACTTGATAAAACTGGACACTCCCTGAATTCAACATTGGACAAATGGATTGTTAGGTATGGTAACCGAGGGTTACCACTACCTAACTTCGCATTCGTACCTTGGGACCTGGAATTCCATTTATTCCCTGGGAAAATAAAAATAATGGGTACCAAACTTAAGTTATGAAAAGCAAAAATATGCATAACAAGCAAAATGTTAGTATGAACAACGTCCATGCAATCGGCTATGTGGCTTAAGTTTTTCTAAATTGTAAAAAACTTCTAATAGAATCAGTTAAACATGTATATGAAGTAGTTACTAATACTGTAACAGTGTACTGTAAAACATGCCATTCAAAACCATTTCAAACATTTAATATAATTTAAAAACATGCCATTCATGAATAGCAACATGCAGTATAATATAGCAAAATTAGGCCATAATATCTTATTTAGACCAAATCCACAGCAAAAAACATTCACTGAATGGAGTTATGAAACATGCAAAAGCTCCATGCAATATGTAAGGACAAAATCAAACCCAAAACATGGTTGTTGTTAAGGGGAAGGGGTTGGAAAATTAAATTAAGAAATGGTTAGTTACGGGAATTCCAGGATCTCCTCTCTCCCCATTCTGTCCATCATCACCCCTTGAACCCTAATGTTCGGTTCGGGAAAAGAAAATGACAGAAAATGAAATATAAAAATGGGAAAAATCAAATAGAATGTACAATGGAAGAAATAAAATGGAAGGTGGAATACTTTGTTTCAGTTCCTCACACCGCTTAGTAGGTTTGTAGTACTAGTACTTAGTAGATGTTACGTGGTAGGGAGGGGGGAAATACCTTAGGTCCGACCATGCCAGGTGCTCCCTATGTAGAAACAAAGGAGGAAAATAATAAGAGTGTTGTACACTTTGACAGTTGAGGTTTAATTCATGAATACTACTAGACAGATTATACCCCTTCCTAAAAAACAAGGTAATTACCGATCAGCAAACTAACAATAAAAATCATACAAATATGGAAAAAGGTCATAAAATAGTATCTCAGCACTAAATGTTTGTTCCATAATACAAACTTCACAAAAGGTTTTTTTGATTTACAAGAAGCTGAACATCATGCAATCTAAATCTAATGTTCTATCTACTGGACTGCCTTACTATAGATAAAGTTCCTAATGTGTATCTC